CATAAAAGAAATTTGTGAACACGATCAATATGATTAATTTTAAGAAAATTTATATATAATTTTTAATAGAAATGGGAACTTTTGTGTTGCATCGAGATTGAACAAAGAATGTTCCTATTGGCTTTGGTTCATTTATCGGGATCCGGTAGACAATTTGATTGTTTGAACACGGTTGCGTCTATCATAATCAAATCTATTTAAGAACGTTATCAAATCATCTGCGGACAACATATAGAACTTATATTCGTTAATTTTAACTAATTATATGCGTAATAAATTATTATTGACTATTTTTGTAATACTGAGTAAGGTCTAATTTAAGACCGAAACGTCTATTTTATTGTAATATTTCAAATACAAATAAATTTTCAAGTCATTCTCATCTGGCGTTCGTGGTATATGCCTTCTTAACTATATTGTTTTAAAATTTTACCACGGTATATTCTATTTTGTATAAAGTAAAAAGTATCTTCTATCAGATAGTATAAGCAATTTTTATAATACTGTTTGCAATTTTGCAATAATTAAGTTTTTCGTAAGTTATGCAAAAATGAGCGTCTGACAAAATGAGCTCCAAAACTAACACAGTAGGCAGTAATGCTACGTATTCCTATTCTTTTTCTTTTACAGGAATTATCTGTATAAAGTACCTATAAGTAAATGTATTAGATGTTAAACTAAATTCCTGCCGTTTTTCGTCTCCAAAATTGATTTGTTTCGAAGGGATACCTTCATCAAAGTATTATTAATAAAGTACTATTAATTAGTATTAAAGTGGTAGTTAGTAAAAAAATGGAGGAAATTACTTTGATTGAGGTATTCATTCATCTTCCCTACGAAACAAATCAATTTTGGAGACAAAAAACGGCAGGAATTAAGTTTAACACCTATATAAGATTTTTCAGAATCATTTTACTTCGTTATAAAACATTTTTATTGAATTATATGCATATATTTACTTTATGCTGTTCTGCAAGATGCAAATATGTAACGCAATAGTTTTTCTAGAGTTGTTCCATATATGCACGATTGCGTTCAGCTCCAATAGATTTATTTGACACTATGTAACATTTTTATTGAATTATATGCATATTTACTTTATGCTGTTCTGCAAGATGCAAATATGTAACACGATAGTTTTTCTAGAGTTGTTCCATATATGCACGATTCTACAGGTGTGTCGGTTTACGCTACACCCCAATTTTAAATTAAAAATCGTATTATGAAAAGACTAATAGAAGAAATAATATAAATAAAACTTATTTCGGAAACTACAAGTATTTAAAATGACGTAATATTATCAACAATATAGTCACTATTATTTAAACCTCACAATTTGCAAAAGAAAATCGTAAGAATTTTATTTTCGCATTTATAGAATTTATTTTTAGCTGATTTGATATAGAAACAAGCCACAACCTACGAATTATGAGTTTGTACTTCTATATAATTAACTAAACAGATCATGATTTTATTAGTATTAATAAAGTGCAATAGTTAGTTTCCGAAAAATAAGGGGGCGTCACTTTAGGAGACCTATGTCAGTATCGGCGACTTTCCTCTACTTTTCGAAATAGAAAACCGCTCATTCGTCTCTCTTATATTATCATTTTCTTATTTCTTAAAGATACCTATAATCTTTTCATGGCTTATTTTTGGCGTCAAAACAGATCACTTCATCAAAATTGATCCTTGATATTTGTCAATTTTTACTACGATATAAGAATATTTTTACACCGTGGTCGAAATGTAAGAGTTTATTCTTACATTGTAATTTTGACCACGTGATTTATTTTAACGCTAAAAATAAGCGTCAAGCGTCAACACGAAATTAATATCTTAACAGCTATAAAATATTGTATTCTCTTCATCCTATTTGTTTATCTCTCTTTCCCATATTTATTTCTAACAAAACACAGCCATCAGAAGTCTCGCTGACTGCTCACAATTAGATTGTCCGATGTCGCCCGCCACCTCATAGTCCAACTATCCGAATGACTCACGAAAAAATAATGTATGAAACGAACAGCTTGATAAAACAGGAACGATTTTAAACTCACTATTTAAAGAATAATAGATGCTGTTTTGTATTGATCAACTAAAAATGAAATTCGACTTATACTCAGTTCCACAACTCACGGTTAACTCTTAACCAATTCAACTTATTCTTCATCTCTTTCTAGTTCTTGAATATAACAATACAAACACAAAATAGAACAATTATATATAACGTTGTATAACAATTATATAAGTTATATACATGTTACATAAATATCATGTATATTTTGTTTGCTGAGTACATATAGATTCAAAATTAATTAATTGTAATTATATTATTGTATTAACTTACAATTAATATATTATTTTTATAACTTTTTGAAATAAAATGTGCATCAAGCATCTATGATCGATATTAACATAGTAATAATTTTTAGCATTATAGTTTGATAAGAATAGAAGTATAATTGTTGATTAAATTATTTCAGTCTGCTTTGAATTTATTTTTTCTTCCAATACTTCCATCCTTCCAATACTTTCAATCCAGTTAAACACTGTTAAACACGCTACATTATTTAATTTAAAGTTCTCAAAAATATTTTCTTGCGATTTAAAAGTTTTTGCAAAATTCATTAGAAGATCATGAATCCAAAATTAATTACATTAAAAATTCAGAAATTATCTTAGCTTATATATTATCACGTCTTCAGACAATTTTTTACTTAAAAAAATTATTTATCTAAATGTATGTTTACGAACTAATATACAGATATTTAATTGACTTTACATGCTTCTTTCCGCGCGCAATTTTTATATAAATATTATATTTTATTTAATTTTCTAAAGACTGTAATAGATTGAGTCTTATCTTTTAAAGAATAATCTTTTAATTATTTCAGATGGCGTATCTGTTCAGTTATCCTTGAATTCGTCATTCTTTTAAATCATCATTAATTTTATGTTCAAGTTCTAAGAAATATCTTGCATTTGTCTCATATATTCTACTTTGCTATTGATCTTAGCTCTTAGCCTTACCGAAAGGAATGGAAACATATGAGGGCTTAGATTCTTCTAGCATCTTGAAGATATCAGGTCACAATATATTTAGCGCACTGCAGACAAATCATAAGAGTAAAACAAAATAAATGAACATGAATCTACATACTTTCGTTAGCATGTTTTTTTTCACACTATCATCCATCGTAAATTCTAACTGCACCCACTATTCGCGTGTCGCACATATGTACGTGTCCCAGGGTGGGATCATGCGAGGATCGTTTAGAATGGCGTGTAAAAACCAAGTCGAGCCAGATCTCGCGCGGTCGCTGAACGCCAACAGATGAGGACCTACTGCCGTCGGTCAGCGATGACGGTGTTCAACTAAAGTCCATCGATCACCCTCAAATCTTCGGCGAGGGTGAGATCGAGGTCTGTACGACGACGAGCCGTGAATTGCCTTGGCAACCAGCCGTCAAAACATTGTGTACGTTAATAACGTCGACGAAGTGCGATCGTGAGAGCCGTCCGGCCAGTCACTCGGTGCCCTGTGAATCATTCTACCCTGCGACGACGACCGCGACGACGTTGGACAATCGGTTGGGAACGATTGGAGAACGTCGGGTCCGCGACTGAAATGGTCTCCGGCGTGAAATCCGCTCGGTATCATCATAATCCGGGATGTAGAAGCTGACGTCAACGAGAGTGCGACTCCATCGGGAACCAACGCCTCCGGGTCGCCGAAGCATGAACGTAGGGAATCCCCGGATCGTTTGTCTCGCGCTCACCGTCATCGCCTTCTTCCAGAGAGGTCGGTAGACGATTAGGTACCGAAGTAGTTGCGATCTTGCGAAAATAGGCAATCGCAATCTTTCTTAATAACGAGATCTAAAGAGTGGTACGATGGACTATCTGCGAATCTCGCGCGAACAAGATCGATAACCGGATTGCACACATTGCTTTCGAGGACAAGTTGTTAACGCGCGACGTGTATAGTTCGTGCTGTTTTATATATAAAAATAGCTCGCTTTGGTGCCGCTTGAGCTCCGAGACCACCTTGTAGATCACTAAGATCTCTCCTCGGTATAAAAATTCCCTGACGATATAAAAATTCTTTAATACTCGCTCCTTATCAATGGCAAGTGAAATTTTGATTTTAGAACAAAACGTTCAGACGAGAGATGTCAGATTGCCAAGTTTTATTTATCGCATTCTTAATTTCCCGATGATACAAAAATTCTTAAAGGGATGCTAGAGTGACCAAATTCTCGATATTATACATATAAAAATGTTCGAATTGACTAAACAGAATCAAAAATCCTTTTACAGGATTAAAATAGACGCAAAATTAGGAGGTGGTGCAGTGGACTTTATATTAAAATAAAAAAAAGTTAATAACTTACTTAACTTTTTTTCGATTTTAGTATAAAGTCCACTGCACCATTTCTTAATATTGCGTCTACTTTAATCGTGTAAAAGGATTTTTTATTTTGCTCAGTTAATTCGGAAATTTTTATACGACTATAATGTCGATAATTTGGTCACTTCGGCATCCCGTTAACATTCGTTCTTATCATTGGCAAATGAAATTTCGTATCTAGAATAAAACGTTCGAGTAAACGAAATATGTCCCAAACAGAGATGTTAGATTGCTATAGTATTGTTTATTGCATATAGTATTATTGCATTCTTAATTCCCTGATGATATAAAAATCCTTATCACTTGCTTCTTATCATTGACAAGTGAATTTTGTATCTAGAACAAACGTCGGAGAGATGTTTCTGCAAATACGAGAAATGTCAGGTTGCCAAGTTTTATTTACCGCACTCTTTTTCGTTTCGTTTTACGAGTGCAACTTGCCTGTTCTACAGGGTGGGCCATTGACTGTTTCAAGTGTGTCTCGATCGATGGCGACAACAAACCCTGCGATGACCCATTTCACAACAATGGGAGCCGCGCTTTCTTGGAGTCGCCCTGCTTAGGGGGTAGGAAAGGCCGGGATGGCCTCTTCCCAGCGACTGCTTGTCTCAAGATTGCCGGTGTATATGGTAATAAACCCAAGTTACCGTGTGACATGATATACTATTTTTATTCATTTTTTTTTATATCTTTATTATGTTAAAATCGACCGTCTCTTACAGAAATCCAATTTAAACCCAAAATTAGTAACTAATCACTTATACCTTCTATTAAATCTCTAATAAAAGGTGAGAATTTCACGTTAATAAGTACATTATTAAACTGTATCTTAATCGACTTGACAATTCATTGACTTGGCCAATCTAATACTGGAAATTACTTATTTGATTCCAAATTAATTATTTTTATTATTATTTAATGCTGGAAAGTGGAAATTATTTCTTTTCTATTAAACTGCATTTGATATCTAAAATAAGAGTTCTATTCTGTAATTCTTAACAACTGTAAAAAAGTTTAAATAATTAATCACTATCATTCAGTATTAAATTTTTGTAAGAAGTGAGAATTTCGTGTTAACAAATATATTAAATTATATCTTAATTGACTTCATGGCTTAGATGAATCCGGTGTGACCTTGATGGTGAGGGGTTGCGCATTGGACAGTGGAACCCTGACAACGGACTCCGAGATTATCAGAATGTCCCACTGCGGTGGTTTCTACTTCGACGACAAGTAAGACAAGCCAAATATCGAGCTAAAAACCGAAGTAAAAAATCGGAAGTCAAAATTTATTATTTTTAAACATTCACGAATACCTCGTAGATACGTTCGCGGATGTGTGCAATCTTGCAGCGATGCGGACGCGTGCAACGCGTCGTCGAGGAATCTTGCACCGCTGATCGTCCTTGTATTGCCGATTCTCGTGGGACTCGCGTGATCCATTTACACTCCACGACGCGAGTGCGATCAGACGTTTTTTTTTCGAGAACTGGACGATTTGGGTTGCAAACTTCATTGTTAATGCTGAAAATCTATAGTACACGTTATGAGCATTATAGATTTTCAGCACTAACAATGAATGCAGGATTAGAAGAGATCGACGGACGACATTGAGAGATTACAACAGCGAGCGCGTTGTAATGGTTATTAACGATGATCTTTCTCATTAAATCTTATAATACGATGCATTAAGCAGACCACATAGTGAATATACTGCCAGATTTTGATTAATAAGCTATAGTTTCTCTCATTATTTTCAAGCAGCAATCCACGCGCCATTTACTCTAGCTATCACTGGTTATATATGTGCGATACATTGATTGTAATTACAGCTTCATATTGCTTCATATCAATAAAGCAGATTTTGAAATTGTTAAATAAACTCTCTTATTCTCTAGCCGGTATTCATAATCTGTTCATACTTTAAGATCGTCTTAATATCGAAAGATATTGATTAATGTGATTGACTTATCACTTCTTAAGAATATACTTACTTAAGATAATCTTATATAAATGTAATAACCGACTACGAATGCCGATCTTTGTCCTTTTTCTCGTAAGAAATATGCAGGCAATTTCAGACAACGCAATAAGCTCCATCGCTTTTTGTTTTATTCAAATTAACCACCTACTTCTCTAACTCTCTCTGTCTTTCTCTATTATTTTGGACGATTGACACGACTGCTTTAGTTTTAATTCGTGAAATTTTTATGGCAAAATATAAATCTTAACAGCAATGACCGATCATGAAAAATCGAATATCCAGTATCTCCGATCAATTTGTAAATCTTTTGTGGCGAGCCGCTTGTTGGATCTGGGAGACCATCGAGCTCATCCTGATCATCATATTTGATTGCTTAGCGAGGCTAATTGAATTAGTACTCGTGATGATGAAATTAATATTTCAGGTGACAATAATGCGCTTATACAGTAATTAAATACATTTTAAATATATTGTGAATAAGATTGTATATCCATCAGTTCAAAACGAAGGTTAAACAGATAAAAATATCTTTTTAAAACTAGAATTAGAGCCGCATTTTCTAATTCATTTCAAGTGATTAGAAATGTGCAATAATATATAAGAAGAATGGTATATATTCATATATACATCCTATTTGAAGAAAATCTATAAGAATATTAAATAACTGGATTTTTAGGTGATCTGCTTTGTCCGAGATTTATGCATTGACGCGATGCAGACCTTCGCCAATGTTTTTCGAGGAATCGTTAATGTCATTAGCAACATCAGCTGCGATGACGTCGAGGACTTTGCTTCTGCCTGCATTGTCATTGCCTTGTGTACCGGAGCCGTTAAGATGTTCATGAATCTTCTTAAGAGGGTACATACTAAGTATCTCGCGATAATCATTATTGTCAACAATGGCTGATGATTCGCACCCGATAATCAGAAGGGTTAAGAGTCGCTCGCAAATTAATAGTAAACAATTAATAGTAAACAATCGCAGTTTTGAGCTCCACAGAAAGTACATCAAAAAATTATTATTTTTATGTCTTATATCTAAGATATACCCGAATTTTTAACGGTCCAAGTTTCAAAGAATATAATTCGATTTTACTTCCCAATCAAAGCCAAAACGGGACTTCCTGCACTTAAAAAATAAAAAAGGAAAAATCTTTTCTAATTTAAGTTACTTTGTTTATGCAACAATTATCAAAATTTTTTATAAGATAAAATATATCTTAAGAATACGTCTCGTTTTGGCCGATACTGTACCCCATTGCAATCACTATATTGTGCGATATCGCTTGCAAATGTGGTACCCTGCTTTTTAGAATCGTCAAACAAGGCGATGTGCAGGTACTTTAAATCGTTCGTGCGCGTGTCTCGCAAGGAATACCGCTGCCGTCGATGTAACATGGGAAAACTACGGTGCAAAAACCAGGTAAAGTACTTTGTAGACTACTCTTGCGACTGATATCAATCGAAATCTAAAGATCTGCGTGTGGTCGCATGGTGCATTATCTGGTTTTTGATCCGACAGAAAAAACATCGCGTTAAACATTCATTTAACGTGGACATTTTTAACGGCTCTTCGTTTATATTTTACATATAAATGCAAAACTTACCCAACGACGAGATCATTTCATTATAAGAGTCATCGTAATGCAGAAAAAATAGACTTATTGCTGTGATTTGAAGATTGCAAACTTGAAGATATGTACCGCGATTTCTTACTTTCGTAAAAAACGACCGTTCGCATTCCATGTTTTGACACATGTGATTGATTTCAATGTCATATTGATACTTCAGAATCCCCAAACAAAGCTGTTCAATATGTTTGGGCAACACGTGACGCAAAGCGGCAATAATAACAATCCGACGGCGAGGAGTCACAGCCAGGATGCGTGTTTTCGCGAGAGAAAGACGGGCAGGAGGCCAAAGAAACGAAATAACAGGCGATATCGATCAACGTCATAAAAGAATAACTGATATAATTATGTAAGATTTTCTTTGTGAAGTACGAATATCTCTATAAGATATATTTACATAAACGTTTATTATATGTAACAATGTGTAAGGCGCATCTCAAATTTCGTCGTAAAATAGCATATACAATTTACGTCATATTATGTACATAGTGAAGTATATATAAAAAATCTGTAACACTTTTTTTACATACCGTTTTTGCATTGATATAACAATATATCAAGTTAAACAATCTAACAAGCGTTGTAGAAATTTTTCATGTATATAAGCATGCATCAATTTGTAAAAGAGAGACGTTGGAACGTTTATATATATAGAAAAATACATCACTTTTTTTGTAAAAAAAAAAACGCATCTGGAAACATGCGCAAATCTCTGCTTTCGCACATTGATGAACATTTAAATGCGTAGGATAACATTTATAAATTATAAAATCTTACGCTAGAGAGTCATGGGAAACGTCGTAGTTATAAATAAAAAGATTCGACCTACAATGAGGCTCGATAATACTTTCATTGTCCTATCTTTAACTTAAATATATTTAATCAGAGTGAAGAGTAATCTTCATGGATTGCATCATTGGACAGTTTAATCATTGATGATGGTGATGACTAAATTATGTTCCGGCCAAGAAAATGTTTTTGGCAATTGGATCTATAATAAGATATATTAAAACGTATATAAAATATTCAGCATTGATTTGTTCCAAAATAATTAAACAAAACTTCCTAAATGTGTATCATCGTTTTAAAGCAATCTCACACGTTGTTACCTTATCTGGCGCGTTCAGAATTTGAAACTCTTCGGCCATTTTCTCGGACAACTCTTCCGAGAGGAGTACCTGCAGCCACGGTCCTTGAACGACGTACGGCTTCTCTTTGGACACAAAAGTGCCCGTAACAGACGGCGCGACTATTGTAACAGCTGAGTGGGACAATATAGATTTGAACGTGAAATGCCTCCCATGCATCACACGACCCCTGTAATATAAATATTACATTATTCATATGACGTTGCTGTTGCAGCTCTGCTGCACGAATTTCAATTCTATCATGACTAACTTTATTGCCAACGGTAATAACGAGCCAGCTTCAAGATTGAACGTTAGATGTAGTCCGGGCAAAGCTCTAATACTATTTTCGTCAGAGACGTTGGCGTCCTGCTGCTCGCAAGGCGACAGTCTCTCTGTCTTCACGATCGGCTTCACGTCCTCGTCGTCATCGGAATCGTCCCTTTTCTCCCTGTATCTCTCCATGCTTCTGTCGTTTATTTGCACCCACCTACACCCAAATAATACCCGTATTAGACTAGAGATTGAGATTGAGATTGAGATTAAAATTAACCAGAAGAAAGAAAATTAATATCAAATTTAGTAAACTTACTTTGCTTTGATAAATTAAATTCAATCTCAATCTCAATCTCTAATCTGATACGGGCATAAGGCTATGGTCTTAAACTCAAATTCCTGATTCTATTGATCAGTTATCATCACTTACCAACATTTGGCAGACACACCGCTAGTATTTGACCCATCTCTCTCAATGCCGCACTGTATTTTCTCAGCTATAGAAGGATCATCCTCCATAGCAGAATGCATTCTTCTCATGTCGGTGACTAACCACGGGCCACAGCCTCTAGCGCTTCTTAACAGATTAACCACACCCAGACCGTTCCAGTGTTGAGCTGCCTGTAGTTCTTCAGAAGTAACGCCGACGATTTGAACAAACGAGACCTATTTCCAACAATAAAGGATCATAAGGATGCAACTCATTTTCATTATTTAAGGCAGATTCTCTCTTTTTTTTTATTTAATTCGCAATTTAAAGCTAAATAAATATAATATGGCTAAGTTATAAATTTTATTTATCTGTAGAAATCTTAATGAGTCTGAAAATCATTAAACCATCATGTTTTAGGAATACAGGCTCGAGCCTTTTGTACATACGTCGCCGTGGGGTGTCGAAATTGACGTTGGAAGCTGCGGGTCCTGTCCCATCAAAATCTGGGTGATACAACCGTTTCCACCGTCCAGTGGAGCATGCCAAGAGACATGGTCGCCCGGCATCAACGTATTCCCGGAATTGAAAACATATTTGGCCAATTGCTGCATCACGTTTGCCGGCCACGTGGGCGGCGTCGTCTCGCCTCTTTCACGAGCCAGACGAAAGGTCAACTCAAATCCAAATCCGCTGGGGCGGCCTGAACCAGGTTTAGGATGCAATCGACCGTCGCCGTGTAAATCGGACAGTCCTAAACTGCATTTAAATAAACGGAGTATAATGTAAATAAGTGTTTCTGTACCACGTTTTTTTTGTTATGCTCTTATTTTTAAAAATAATTTCTGAATATAGTAACAAAAATCAAATAGCGATGAATGAAGAGAATATTAAAAAAAAATATTACATGCAAAAAAAAGAAAGACTCAACAATATCTTGCGTGCAAAAAAAGTACGTAGACTTTTCGTCAATGGCAAAGTATAATTAGCCGGCGCAGACGAAAAAGGGGAAGTCCGGCGCTTCTATTTCCGACTCCCCACGATTTAAACGACTCTGTTCCTCCTGCACCCTACACACTCTCTATATATAGAGAAGCACGGAGTAGTATTAGGACAGCTGTCTGAAATCGAAGAAGCGAGGGTCGCCAGCGCGAAGAAAAAAGGGAAAGGAACCCGCACCCTTTGGCGGAAGATCATTCGTCATTCCGCACACAAATTCCAATGAAACATCGGAATGAAACGGTAGCTTCTACATATCGCGCATCTGCCATAGTTTGTATTCACTTAAACTCTCTCTTAACAAACACACAAGTCTTAAATTATA